ATAGACTAAAAGTGTCAATGAAACAATTAAAAACAAAAGCAAAACCCAGAATAAAAATAAAGCATACATGTTTTTCCCTCTGTATGCAATCAAATAAGCTAACAGAACCATGAAAAACACAGAACTAAACACATCCACAAATTTCCCTGAATTTGTATTTTGGCATAGATGAAAACAACAGTTGAAGGGTTTTTTAAAGCTATTGAGATGGTGCTTGAATTAAGAGAAGGTTGGAAAATACAAAACTAAAGCAGGTCAATAGCTCAGGGAGGTAAAATGTCAGCTGGCATGATGCTGTTGCTGCCACTGTATAGATCTGCAATTGAGAAAGCCTCAAGAGATAAAGTCTTTCTCAAATTCATGTTTTTTTCCTTAATTCTCCCTCTCTTCTAGATGTGACTCTGTGTTGCACAACTGGGTCTGTGAAACCACTACCTCCAGTCCCTCAAACGATGGTAGGTGAAAACGTTTTGATTATCTGGCTACAGGGAAAGACCCACCAGTCAGGTGGTAGGGATGGCTGTGGGAGGGATGGAGAATTGCAAACAGCCACTCACTGGAAGCTGGTGTAGACCTTTAATCTGCAGCGCAGCTTCAGCATCCTTGTGTCCGCAGCATGTCAGAGGGAAGGACTCATCTCCTTCTTCCATGTGGCAAACTAGGAAAGTCTCAACCACTTTTAGTTCACTTTAGCATGCTGGTGGCAGTACTGGCTACAGCCCTTGTAGGGATGTCTTCTACTTTATACGCTTATTTCCAGTGGGATTAGGGAATGCCATCAAAATTAGGTCTCTGGTGTGTAGGAGGTCCCCATTCCTAGAGATGCAATAAACTTCCCTCACCAAGGAAAATGGTGTTCATAGGACTTGGAGAAAACATCATACCTAAAGATGTGAACAAATATACCTACTTTGCGTGGGTGAGAAATGGTGGATGAACTGCATTTATCTCAGACAAGTCCCAAGCTGTGCTGCTCTGGGGTTAAGTCAGGAGTACAGATACCTGTTTAGGAATCTTTATTTAGCCCAACTTAGAGGCAGCCTCTAAGTTAATGAATTGGGAAGTGCATCTGAGTTCTTTATGTGCTCTTGCCTATATGTTGACTTTATATCAGACAGAAGCCCAAGAGTGTGGTGTCCCACCAGAACCCACAAGGCCTTACTGTCCATCTGAGAAAGCTAGGCTTTCACAGACACAAGGAGAAAAACAGGACACTGGCATGTCAAAAAGCACTACTTGTGTTTAATTCGGTCTGAGTTCTCTAGTACACCAGTTGCTTGATGAAGAAGGGCAACAGTTGGCTGGGTTAAGAATAAAAGTAGGACTGAAAGATCTGCTTCTATGCTTATCTCCTCATCTATCTCCTCCTATAGAAATACAACAGCAATAGTGGTATCTTTGACCTTAGTTTTACTGCCCAGCTTAATTATTGAGGTTTGTAGGTAGGAAGGAGGTAACGATGACAAGAGAATAGAAGAGAAGAAAGTGGCTTAAGTAATGATCGTTTTATGTCTTTAAAAAAGGACTAACAGTATGTGTATTCACGCAGGATTACCCCAGCCTCCTCCATATTAAACCAGATTGAGATTCAAGTCATGGGACTTTTAAATCTGTATTTGCTACTTTACTTTAATTTGTCTTCTGTTCTGTATCTTTATAATACAATCTGGGTCTATTTCCTAGCCTCTCTCTGTTAATTAGAAAGTAACTTAAAGAAAAAAGAACAACGAAAAAGAAAAGCTGGAAATGTTGTGTATACGTGAACAGCCAGAGCTTTAAGAAACACATAGATTATCAAGGTAGAATAAGGTACAGAAGGTAAAATCACAAGAGCTGTAAAATGGACCTTTAAGAAAAATAATAATAAAGCCTTGGAAAGAAGCTATGAACAAAGAGGCTTTTGACATTTTTTTATGATAATGAGATTTTAAAGTAACAGCATTTTGAACATGCAGCAGCGTAACTTGTTTTGAATGCTGTGGTCTGTTTTGCCTGGCTTCCATGAGGAGATGCTTTGTCTATCTGGAGAGATCATCAGTCATGCAAATCTGCTGCTGAACATGCTGGCTTCTGCTATGCCTTTATGATTTATTTTTATTATCTGCTTGAGTTCAGAGAAGTTATTTTGAAAGGGAAATGTAAAAAGCAGGGACATGACAGTTTTCAGATGGGTACTTCTAAAACACGTTCAGTAAATCCAGATATAATAACTACCACATCTGGTTGGAACAACTTGACTTCATTTTCCCAAGCCATATGATATAATCAGGTTAAGAAGGACTTCTCATGGTGAAGAACAGTCTATATTTAGTCACAGACCTACTTCTATAAGCTCTCAGCACATTTTTACTTTGCCCTTTCACCTGCTCAGTTTGATCATGAGAGGTACCACTGTACCCCCCAGCCTTGCTTCAGCCTGCCTCTCAGTTCATGTCCCTCACCTCTCCAGCCTCTGCAAGTCTTGCTCCCTTGCTTTCTTCCCAGCTGACCAGAGGAATTACTTCTGCATGTAGGCAAAACTGACCACAGGCATTACATTTTGCATGACACATTGCTTTTGCATGATTACATCCTGCACCTTTGATGCCTCTGTCCCTTTCATCGGTTTAGCATTATACCTCTAGTCTCCCACAGAGGAGCTAGTTCCTAAAGAGTGATGCCATTACAAAGAATAGGGGGCACAAAGGTCTCTTCATGGGAACTGGTGGGTGTTTCCCCTGTGCTTTGATAACAGCAGGAAGCAGGGACTTCCCGCCTGAGAAACACTTTCAGCTCTGCTGGTGCCTGGCATCCGCTGTCTTTGCAATGGCAGATGGTTCGTGTAGGTCAGACCAGTACTGCAGTAGATCAAATCATAGAAGTCCACTGAGTGCAGACACATTTCTTCTCATGCTTATGTATCGGACAAGGTTTATGGAAGCTGGAGTGATCCAGCACTGTACAGTAGGGGTGCAGTTCTGCAGATAGTGGCCATTCCCTTATGCACATCACAGCAGAATCTCAGACTGTCACCTATGGCTCTCTAGATGACAGTGGTACAGTCATCAATATGAAAACCACAACAATATCACTGCCAGCATAAAGGAAATAATAAGATTCACTCAGTTACTATTAGGAAATGCTCTTGGGGTTTCAGCCAGTGCTGTAAATGGAAAGCTGTATATATGGACACAAATCAGGACATGAATCTGTACCAGGTTACAGGTGAAGTCCATCCAGAATATTGCAACAGACAAATACACATCCAGTAGTGAAACCCAAAGGGATGCAAATCTGATGTGCTCATCTTTGGCTGGTTCTTTTCCCTGGCAGGTTGGATAAAGCAAATTTCATTTCTGTGATCATAATTCTTTCTGCCATTTACTTTGGCCAATGCTTTGCACTTTCTTCTGTTCTCTCAAAAAGATGGAAGCTCCATTAGAGGATGACACCTTTATTGTTCTGTCAGAAAACACAGGAAATTAAAAAAGATCAAATTTATCTCAAAAAATTACAAAGGCCAATGCTCAGAGGTGTACATCAGCTCATAAATATGTTTACTGAATATCAGCTTGCTCTAACTTCACTAGATGCTTTAAAGAGAAAACAGTTTAATCTCTATTATAATTTTATCTATCCTTCTGACAGCTGCAGGCAACTCTGGTTCTGTCATTACTCCACAAAGCAAACAAGCAGTCTAAGACTTGAATTCTGCCTAACACAGGCTCTTGATCGATGAGCTCCTTTCCACTGAAGTCTGATATGACCAACAGGACCCACCCTGATAGGGTTCAAGTAGTAGTACTTGATGAGTAACAGACCTAATTCTAGTCAAATGAGGAGGACTCCGCTGTGAGTGATACCTCTTTAAAGAATGGGTATCTCCACTGGATCTTGGTGAGATCATATTGAGACTTTGAGCCTTTTCTCCTACATCTTTCTTATTTTCCTCATCCTTTGCTGTCAGTGTTTCAAGTGTAGTTTTCTCTGCTCTTAAAGAATTGTGATGTTTGGATTTTCTCAGTTATGACATTTCACCAATTTCTAAACACATTTCAGTGCCTTAATTTTAGATGCTCTTTTGCCCATGCTTTGATTGATGTCACCTAACTTTAATGTCAGGCTTCTCATCCAAGTCATTTGTGTAGACTTCCTCAACAATCAGTGGTGAGAGGTAGACACTTCTGTAGGATGACATGTCTCACGTGAAGACACAGGTCAAAGCTAGATAAGATGAATCCCATAGTTACATACCTACACTTGTTTAACTCTGCACAGGCAAAGTTAGGCACCAAGGAGTGTGATTCCTTATATCCAACATGCTTAGGAGAGAAACATCAATAAAACTCAGTAAGGAAAGGGAATGATTTAGAATTAGCATAGTTTTTGCTTTTAGTGATCAGTAATAACAGTTGACTAATGCTTGTTGTGCTTCATGGTAGCATTACTATTGACCAAAAGCCGTTCAAAAACCAAAGTTATTTTATAATACTGTGATAGGGTCTTTTAATACAACAGGACATCATTGCACTTAGTTATAGTAAAGCACAATTTAGTCATGTGGTGTCCAAAGCACATGAATTGCAACAGTTCATTAATTAGTATCAGCTTCAGATAGGTTGGCAGGCTTTTGATGCAAATCAAGTCTATCACATAATTCTGGTAATGAGAGCTTCCTATTACAGCAGTGTCAGCCTCCACTCAGAGTTCATTGCTTCTGGTGTCATTATGGTGGAACTCGGTTCTGTTCTCACCTGTCTCACAAACGTGGACAGCAGTATCTGGGCTGTGCTTCTAAATGGATGAGGAAAAAGCTGCTTGTCTGTGCCCATCTTCTTAGCTTTGATTAATTTGCCTAATATCATTACACATGTTGAAGATATAAGTGATCATGTACATGTTGTGTTATTTCTTACGATACTCAGTGCTGCATCTCCTTATCATTTTATTTCCTCTGTCTTCAAAAGCGGAAGCGTAGAAGCCTCCCCCAGGTGCTGTCACCAGACAAGTCAGTCCCGAACATGGCTGTGGCCCAATGCAACTATGAACCAGAAGGAAATTCAGGTCTCCGGCTTGTCAGAAGCAGTAAATACTATGTATTGCAAGAAGAAGATTCTAATTGGTGGAAAGTAAGGGATTTGGAAGGGTAGGTATGCCCTTAGTCTTCCACATATCTCATCTTCATAGACAACATTGCAGGCACTCCTAGAACCTTTCTGGATCTATGTTAGAATTACCTTAGTAGCTTTTAAACATTACTTTAGAAACCTCATTGTCTTCTGTACAACTCCATTTTCATTACTATCCTTGGCTGCCAGGTTGAGTAAGATTTACAACAGTCACTGCCTAGTATACTCACTAAGATAGTAGCCAGTGGCCTTAATTTTGATATGTGCCTGAAAAAGGGCTTGTGTACACAGAAGCCATCCATTTTTTCCCAACTGTTTAGTTTAAGTGAATAAAAAGATAAAATCCTTCCTCACAAATATTGCCTCTCTTGTATGCACAAGCCATCTTTAGTCCAACACCATTACTATCGCAATAGCAGCACGGAAGACCAGTGAGAACTGCTGAGGCACAAATCACTTATCACTTCAGTCTTTCCCCAGCGTTAGCAATACTTTTCCACAAAGACAGGGCACTTCCATCCTGCACAGGGTTTAATTATTCTCTTTGAGGTTCACAAGTGGAGGAATCCCCTTCAGCAACTTAAAATAAGGTATTTTTCATTAATATCCAGCTGGGGCAGAAAAGAGTGTGTCTTCCCAAGTTATTAAATGTGAAACAGCTTTAGGAGTGTACTGGAGACAAAGGCAGTGCAACAAACAGGAGCTGCCTGGAAGATATAAATATTCCTTGTCTGTCTCATGATGGATACTAGCTGAGTTTGATTTTATGTACTTGATAAAAATGTGGAAGGGAAGAATTTTTGAGCTAGGGGATGCCCAAACTGGTTTGGAACAGAATGAAATTACTTGATCCACTCATAATTCGCTGCAAGTAAACCAACAAATAAAGCAATCTTAACTTTATAACTCACAGGATTGGCATACTGTTCTGGATGAAGAAAGGAGCACACAACCCCAGCAACTCAAAGGCAATAATAAATTAGTAAACTGAGATATGCTCTTAAATTCCTTCACTGGACTGTTTATGGCTATGTAAAAGCACATGATACAGGCAGCTCTGTTTATAGAGCCTGAGTAGAGGGGTCTAAGATGAATGAAGGAGCAGAGAGCGCTCAAGAGAAAATGGAAGCATTTACAGTTTTTTCTTTGACTTGAGAAGCTGATACTTGTGCAGTATTGATTCTGTAAGGACAAGTCACATATACATCATAACAAAAGCTTTAAATTCTGCTTGAAAAAAAAAAATTGAAGATCTTGTTTTCTTGAATGTAGCAGGAACCAACATCAGGAGTTACCTGTTTCACCTCTTTTCATGCACTCTCAGTTTTCTTCTCACTTTACTGAGACCTGTGTTAAAGAAAATCTTCCTTTCTGTGTCCATCCATATGCAAATATACAATGGGCACAGCATACAGCTCGCCCCCTTACAACTACAGATGCCTGTTGGCCTCCATAACTTAGGTCCATCATCCTATGTTGCCAGCTGCTTTAAGTGGTAGCTCGGCTGTCTATATTCACTTAGCTTAGCTTCTCAGTTGCAAATGGCATTTTGTTGGGAAGAGTGCTGAGACTTGCTGCATTCGACCTTGAATACTCTGCTGCCACCCATCAGTCACTAGTGTCCTTCATCACAGCAACTGAGATGACATATAATGAAATTGTTGAACAGCTCCTCCAATCTTACATATGATGAAGCCAACCACTGAGGAAGAAGCCATTTCAATGACTAGTGAAAAGAGTGCTTCATTGAAATGTCATTTTCTAAAACAAATTACTTCTGTATTTTTCTACCTGGTAAGTAAAAGCAGAAAAGTTTTAACCATAAGCATTTCTATTAGTGGCATTCTAAAAAGTGACTCTCTGATTAATCCCTTTTCCTATTTTAAGTGACCAAATTTAAGATGTAGTCATGTACAATAGCTAAACTGTGAACTGTTTATTTTGCAGGAATGAAGGTTTCGTACCGAGCACTTACTTGAGAAAGTTATCTCTGAATGATGATGAGCCAAGGTGAATCAATATGCAGCCATCCACTGCTTAAATGTGTTCTTCACCACTCTAGTAAACATTAGGCAATATTTCTGGAGTATTTTTCTTTTTAAATAACTTTCTGAGTACTAAGCATAAAGTTTCCTGAAAGGTATAGAATCAGGTGCAGGTTGTCTTCTTGACTCATGCATTAATGCAAAAAACATCAGGTGAAAATCCTGGTTTCATTTAAATCACTAGGGTTTTACCACTGCTTTCAATGACACTGGGATTTCAATCTTTGTATTCTTATTTCAGCATTAAATCAGCCTTGCTAGCTCTCTTGTGCCTTTGTATGTAAGTGAGTAGTCCTGTGCAGGGTAAAGGGAATCTGTCAAAGTGATACATCAGACCCATCTTTTCCTTTTTAGTAAGATGAAACGACATTGTAAGCATTAAATGTATGCCTAAGTATTTGACTGAAAATCTGACAGAAACATAGCAGATTGTCTCATAGTAAATCATACTGGACAATATTCAGAAGTTTCCTAAAAAAAACCAAAAGACCCTACTCTTACAGTATACAGTAAAAGGCAGCATAAATAAGAATCATTATTATTTCTGCACAAGAGGTTCTTTTTGAGGCTTTTTTTTTTCTGCCACATGAACTCCTTCTATTGCCTGTCATGCTAAGAACATTTATTTGGGAAGTCTAGGGTTGTGCAGTTTTGGAAATCTTCCATGTAAATTTTGAAAAGGTAGATGCAATCTCTTCATAGGGTCACTAAAGGGATATGTAATTTCATTGCCTGTTACAGCATGCTTGGAGAATATTTGGCTTTCCGACACATTGCACAGTGGAGGGCAAAGGCAGCATAAGTGTTTACCAAGTCATTAAAAAATCCAGACAATTAAATATGTCTCAACTTTTTGAAATATTCACCTTAGACCAGGGCATAACTACTCAAAAAATATAGGTACTATGACCTTTAACCCAAGGAAGGTATTTTTCGTAAGTAGTTTTCACGTTTCAGCATGTTGTTTTGTCTTTGCAGGGAAAACTCCAGTGTCAGTGAACACACGTTGGCAGAAGAGCAGAGTATTGCTAAGCATGAGTGAGTACACAGAATGTACTTCATTCTTCATGGGAATGAATCTTCATGGGAACCAAAAGATTCTTTGAACAGAGATTCCCACTTTACATGTCCACTCTACCTAGAGCAATGGTATTCAATATATGGCTGTCATAATAATGATAATAATTATAGATATTGTCATCAGCAACATCACTGCCCACAGACTCCCAAAGGCATGAATATATTTGTTTTCAGACAAAAAAAAAAAAAAAAGGGCATTTAGATAAATCAGTCTAGTACACTAATAAAGGGATGTTTCATGAAAGTGAACTGCTATTAAAAAGGCTTCATTGGAGCTCCCTGAACTGATCTGACTGAGCATGTTTGGCTTGTTTCCTCCATTTGGGATCTCTCAGTGTACTTAAATATTATGACAACCAGAAGGTTCAAGGTTAGAGGAGAATTATGTACCTCCCAGCTTTTAGGGAGACAGCTGTGTCATGGTCTACAGGAGGCACAGCAAACTACTTCTGGTAGAGCTCCTGGCAGAGCATTAGAGCAGCAGGATCCTCCTCCAAAGATTTACTGCAAAAAGTCAGAGTCACAGGGTGGGCCCAGATATTTCAGGAGGAGACCCGCTGGATGGATGAGAGAAAGCAGATGGGAACTAGTGGTTTCCCTTTTATCTCATGGCCTAAAATCACATATGCAGGACAAGTCCCAAGTCTAGTCTCTGGCTTTTAAAAGCAATTTTGAAAAGATTTACAATGTCTGGCATTTTTCATGTGTCTGTTGTGCCTTATTCAGAAATCAGCCTGTGAATAATAAGCCCAATATTTCTCTTTGCAGTTGGTATGCTGGTAATATCTCCCGTGCCCAGTCTGAGCAGCTGCTCCGTCAGAAGGTCCTACATATCCTTTATCACTTGTATATGAACAACCATGGAAATGTTTCTGTGTCTGTTGTCTTTGCTATACTGTGTAGCTAGAGGATGCTGATGCTCTTCAAATAGCACTAGTATTACAGAGTGCTAGAAACTCTTGTGCTAACTTGATGTTGACAAACAGATCTCAAAAAATGCCTGGATGCATTAATGGCTCTTCTACATAAATAAACAAATGATGCACCTCTAAAATACTCTTGGAACAAAGCCACACTGCATGCATTTCCTCTCGAAGCTCTGCTCTTTGGTTTTACCTCTAGGCCTGTGTTGTTTGCTCCAGTGTGGCTCTTTATGCAGATCAGTCTAGAGGAATCATCTGTGGTGGTTTTACAATATACAAATGTGGAGTAAAAGAAGATCATCCAGACAAGCAGACAACCTTGAGCAAACTCAGTGCTATGCCCACTGAGCGTTGGCTGGATGCAGCTGATTTGGAGCAAGGATGGAAAGCACCATAGGACTTAGTCAGATGTACAAGTTTTTACAGCAGACAACTGCAGAAGGACTTGTCCATGTACCTTTCTGGAGAAGACCCAGCCTCAGCCATGCTTTGTGTTTGAGCGTGCTCTGTAAACAACTTTTCCTCTCATGGCTTGCTGCTTTCTCACAGCCACTCTTGTTGGTACTCAGCCACTAACGACTTTGATATAACCCGACCCTTTGGGAGTCTTGGTGCAGCATCCTTTCCCTTGGACCTGCACCATAGGTTCAGGAATTAAATTCAAGTTTGGAAAATCAATGGGTAAAGGGAGTTATGTCACAGTCCCAAAAGGTGCTGGATACTCGTGTCTTCAGTTAACTTTAAGGGGGCATGAAGTTTCCTTTGAACTTCACAGGAATGAACCTTGGCCTGTGTATGAGGTTCTAGATGTCTTCTTTCCTCCCTGCAATAGCCATTCCTAGCACATTAGAAGTGTAGCTGTTAAATGAACTCTGAAAAACAGAATTTCCAGCCCAGTATGGTAAACCATTAACACAAGTAAGTGGATAGTGCAAGTTAGGACTGGAGTACCACATAAAGACTAAAACCAGTCAAAATATAACAGACTGCAGTGAAAAATCTTTCTACTTGTTCAGTAATTCAGAAATACTTTGCCAATAGAAAATACATCAGTCTAATGCATTATGTAAAGGAACTGGGTGTGGTGGATAGAGCTTTTATTCAGATGGGATGTATGTGGCAGTGTTTGGATCTTAAAACGTGTACTGCCTCTGGAGAGTGCATGAGGAAGGACATGGGGTTAACAACTCTCCATCTCCCCAGTTATAAACCTGTATCTGTGCACCAAAATGCAGGCTACTTTCTTCATGGCTGGGCTGGGGTACAACTCACCTAATTTTAAACATTTTCAGTGGGATACCCCAACCAGTTACCTAGACTCTCTTTTTAGTGGAAAGACATAAGTATTTCTAAGGCAGAATTAATCTTGTCCTAACGTAGTCCTTAAAGGAGGTCAGATGAGTCACGTCTCCTTCTCTCCTTGGTGGACATTACAGTGTAAAAGCCTAAAGTTCACTGAAATGAATCCCAACGTCCTTGTTCCTTGTAACTTTTTTTTTTCTTTTTTTTTTTTTTTTTTTTTTAATTA